ACTCTGCATGTCTGCTAGTTAAATGTGCTGGTTGATTTGCTGCAAGACACGTGCTCTGCTGCCTGAACTACAGAGTGCAAAGCAGGTAAGTGCCTGCCAACACCCCCACCCAAAATTCGAAAATAATTTTAATTAATTCTTTCTCGAAATTATTATTGTAATTTGAAAATATGTAATAACCCTGTTCAGAAGTAGCCTGGGGCTCAGATTCAGCCCCAGGAAACGCAGATCTGAGTTGATCTGCGCTGGGCTGTGTGACCAAGGCACGCCCAGGCCTGAGTCTGTCGAGTATGGCTGTGTGACCGAACGCTGCACACAGGAAATTCAAGAGTCAAAGTCAACTGTAGAGTCAAAGGTACCGCACCCAGGCCCTTGGTTGGATACACTCACTTGTTGTGCGCAGGTACCCAGACAGCATCCAGGGCGGAGGGAATTTGGTTTCAGGCCAATCTGGGCCCTCATTCGCATTGAGATCTGGACGGCTGAGGGATACAGCATCTGGGGTCCAGACCCCGCGTCAACACTACATAAGAGCTGACTCCCTGGCTTTGACATTCATTCTGCCTTGCGTTGATGCTGACTTCACGCGTTGACTTCAACGCTGGCTCAACGCTGCGACGCTGGCTCGACGCTGTGACGCTGGCATTGTGACTTGGCGAGGCGCTGCTTATCCGGCATGGTGGCCGGCTTGCTCCTGTCTTCTTGGCATGCTGACGTGGTAGCTGCCATGCGCTATCGCTGATGTGGCTGCTGCCACGTGTATCATTGGCTGACGTGGCTGCTGCCACGTGTTCTATGGCTGGGACTGCGTAATCGGCATTGCTGTTCTGTTTTCGTCGTCACTTCAGGAGGAGATTAGGACTGTGGAGAGTTCGAGGATACTTCATGTCGACATTGCTCCAGATGCTGATGTGGAACTGATTAGATGTGCCACATGGCACATTGAGGATACTCGGATACTCGTTAAGACTATTGATTGTTGAGGTGGCAGTAGAGGAGGGAGCCCGAAGCAGGATTGGGCATTATAATTCCTCTCCTTTGTCTCTTCTCTCTCCCCTCTCTTCGTCTGTGTATGATTACCTCACCTCATTCTGTCTGGTTACGATGGACAATAATCATGAGCCGATGGACATCTATCTGGGCTGCATTGTTGACAACTGTCTCACGATCTGCGTTCATTACAATTTGGCATCAGAGCTATTCTCCTGACGACGACATGTGTATGTGGGTACTCGCCAAGTGGCGCGTAGGTAAGGTTGAGTAGGTGATGACGTGGCAAGGGATACGTTGGGGGTGTTGAGGTGGCACATACCTCATTGGCGAGAAGGATTGCCGGGGTTTGCTGATGAAGTACAGATTCACTGGCAAGAAGACCTGACCGGAGCAGCTGACGAAGTACAGACTCCTCTGGCAAGAAGACATCCCTACCAGGCTGCTGACGTGGCAATCGGGATCGCAACAAGGGATACCGCACGCCAGCCAGGATCGCGATAGTGACGTGGCATCGCCATCCCATCCTGACGTGGCACACATCGTGCTGCGTCTGAAGACCCTGTTGATTGCTGATGTGGCACTCCTTGTGCTGCTGACGCGACAGGGTCTATTGCAGATACTGACGTGGCACGCCCAGGTCATCACACTTGTCTCATGAGGTGGTGTTTGCCTGCTGACGTGGCATTGAACTCCTTGGCTGATGAGGCATAATCTGACTGG